CTGAATACCTCTGTTAAAATATTAGGAACCTTTCATAATTTATTTTTACTAACCAATTCACCAAAGTTTTGTTTGGAGCTGGTTTCAATTTACTGATTCAGTCATTTTTCATGACAGGCAAAAACGAAAGCAATGTATTTATGTTCATGTATTTTGAAATGTAACAGCTATATACAATCTTTCCCATAGCCAGCTCACATATGTTCATGCAGATACCTTGTTCCATTTCTGAATTTTACACTGCTGGGGTTTGTTGCAGTTTGTTCTATCAATGTTCAAAAAAAGACATTTCACACTTCTGCCCATATTTCATCATTATTTACCCAGAGAGGAACCACAACTATCCTTGGTCAGGCATGAAAAGCAGTTCAGGACCAGCACCATGACAAGTGTGAAGAAGCTCTCTGACAAGAACTGCAGAAGGGAACTTATATGTGCAAGACATGGGATTAAAGCATACTCACAGCAGATGAACTAATTGAAGCACTAATGAAAAGTCAATACAATAATTGAAGGTTAGCAAAGCTGGTGTTTTGTCACATCAAGGAATTTAACTGTAATTGTCATATGTCAAGTAGGTGAAAAAAAAAAGACTAAATGCCACCACAAGTCAAAGTGAGCAGATACCATACCGCATTCATGCTCTAGCTATTTTGCTTTGGTATAAATAGACACAAGGATCAAAGCAGTGGAAATCAAACTGGTAACCCAGAGACACCTCGTAGAACACACAATTTTCTCACGTATTGATTATAAATACTGTTTTCTCTTGACAGAACAGTGGCTACGAATGAGCATTATAGGCAATCTCAGCAAATATTTCCAAAAGAAAAAAAACAACTAACTAAAGACTTGAGTAAAAACATGGGTTTCACAGAAGTTTCGAAACTTCCTCTCAGCAGAATCTCCCACAGAATCCCATTATTTTCCCTTGAGTGCCTTTCCTTCCTCTAACTCTTTGCAGCTGAAGTTCAGTGAAGATGTTTTGTAACATTTCTAAAGCTGAAGAAGAGCTGAGGTCTCAGCAGGCAACCCACATGGTGTTAAGTCTAACTGTCTGCCAGTTTCCTTTATACTACATACTACTTAAATATACATAAAAACATTTATGCCTTTACACTTCCATTTCATCCCGCACATTTTTTAGGTTTTGGAGGGTGTTTAACTCCCAGGTTATCAGTTTTGTATGTTGATACTTTTATGTATGTAAAAATAGCATTCCTGCCAGTCACCAAGATGACTAATCAAATGCCAGGAATCTGCTCTGATACAGTATCTTACATCAGAACACATTTACACACTCCCTTTTCCTGCTGGAGTGCAGCAGCAGTTAGACATTTCAGTGCAGAACCAAATGCAGGCACATATCACAGGGCTGCACAGAAAAGGTTAGTCCCTTTCCAAACTATGCAGATAAGCTGTACTGGTAGACTACACATAGCCCCATGAACACGGAAAAATTTCTTTATTAATTAAATCTGGTTTTATGGAAAGGGTTGAGAGTATGACAGACAGTGAGATAATTGTTTGAAATATTCTAATAACACTTGAGAAACTCATTCTTTCTTGTGGAATCAGAGAAATTAGCTCTAAAGATTCATTGCACATTTAGCTGTTTAATCACGTATTTGGCACATATGGGAAAAAAAGATAATAGTATGTAGGCTTCTGGTTCCAAAGTACAAGTTTTAATTGATGTCCATGCTCATTACAAGCCACTCTTTCAAATTTATTCACTCAAGGATTCTGGAATCCAGAAACCTGTAATACCAGAGAACTGTAATTATATACTTCTGCTTATCATAATATCAACTATATCCCCTGAGGTCACATAGTTCCAAGTTCTTTCCAAAGTGGCAAACAAACCTTGCTTGACTTGTTAAAACCTTCCTCTCCTTTATTTCTGGTAATGGTAATAGCTTCCACACGAGTAACAGGAAGATTTCTTGGAAACTCTATGACTTTCAAAGGGTTTCTCCGTCTTCCAGCCAACAGAAGAAGCCAGATGAGTTCTTAAGGTTACACACAACAAGGGAATGTTAATTGTATTGCAGATGTTTCAAGAGTTACTGGCCAAAAACTCTGAGGCTTTTAAAGAAAAATTTCAAGCAAGGTACTACATAATCCAGCTGTCCCTGGTTGTGAGAAAGGGATAGGCAAAACAAGCTGTCTGAGCATTTTCAGTTTTCAAAGGGTTAAATGAGTCACACACTGAAGCAGTAGTGGGAAGGGGAGGAGGAAGCAGAGAAAACATTTACACAGTCCTGAATGAAATGTCTGCAATATGGTAACAGGTGTGTTATATTAATTTTGAGACTAAGTGGGATGAGAGAGCTAAAGGTGTTAAATTTGACCTTTCTTCTAAAGATCATAAACAGTCACTCACAGGACAAGGCTTCAGGTCAAGAAATCTCAGACTACTTAGACCTCAGGCAAGCATCAAAATTAAAACCTTTTGCTGGTAATGGAAGACAGAAATAAGAGAAAAGGGAAACATTCTATACTACATAAGAATTTCATAATAACGTCCCTTTTTCTCACAAATACATTGTTGAAAAACATTTTTGAAGGGAAACTTCCTGCTTGATGGTCATCTAGCTCTGGTATTTCAAACAATCTTCCCTTGTTGGGACAAAGAGGAAGTTGGGGCAAAGAAGAGTCATCATCTTGAGCAGGTGTGAATGTTTGCCTGAGCCCAACCATGCTTTCTTGAAGCTAAAACAGTAGAAGTACAGACAGAGGGGCCTGCTATATTTCTGTAAAGGAAAGCAAATATTGTAAATGTAGTTTGTTTTTCTAACTCAGTGAATAAACCATTAAATTACCTGCTGTCCAAGACCTGGGAAATTTTTTCAAACTCTGACTGGTTATTGACTTTCTGACCACAAGTCATAGCCATGCTAGAAGAGATACTGTTTCAGCAGAAAAGGACAGATTCTTTTAATAATAAGTATAAAGTAAGATATATGGATGAGAAGACAAAAAGTAGAAAGCCAGGGGGGAAAAAAGCATGATTTAGAGATGTCAGGAGTTTCTCAAAACATAGACAATATGATGAAGGCAGTTCTGTTACTGCGGATGCCCCCCCACCCCTCTGGTCAAGGTATCTCTCAGGATCAAAATAGTACCAGGACTCTATGGGTATTAGAGCTCTTCAATTCACTGCTTTTCCCTTGCTGTAATACCAAACTAAAAAGTGAAGTGCCTCACATTTTTTTTTTCTTAAGAAAAAACCACAAAAGTTTTCTTCCTTGCTCAGTCCTTGTTTTGGGCATGTTCAAAGTTCACAAACTTCTGTATCTGGGTCCTATCCTTATATTCACCGAATCTGAGCAAAGACTACTTGGCAACCATTTTGAGCTCTGGACTTCTGGTACCTTCTCAGGATCCTTAATTTTCTCTCACATGGAACTATTTTAGCAGAAGATCTACAAAGCTGTCTATATTTTGTGATTAAAGCAGCTCTGCAAAGTATCCAGAAGCTGAAGCATTCTTCCACATGACTATACTAACTGTTCCAGATTTTATACTGCTGAGAAAAACTCACTACAATATTTCAAGACGTATTTCAAAATCCACATTCAAATTCATTTGCAATTTGCTATCTCAAGAGATTTGCAATAAGGTGAATTGAATTTTGACTAGTTAGGAGGCAACACAGACAACTAGTTAGAAAAAAGATTGTGTAATAAAATGTTAAATACATTTACAATGAATGGAAATCATATTTATTATTTCACTAAGAAAAAACAGACGAAACTCCAATAGAAAGATCCTTAATCTGTTTCCTCAGACAACTTTTCATCAGCTTTTGGCAGGTTAATGTTAATGGCTGCCCTGAGGTTAGCCCAGAACAGGGCTCGCTTGCTCCTCTCCTTCGGCCACTCCATGTAGGTGCGCTT